CTCTGCTCCCTGGTGTCAGCCTGCATTGCTTACAAACGTTGCACTTTCTCACAGCCAGGATTACAAACTTCCCACGTGGGCTGGAAATCTAAAAACACCTCAGCCGTACTGGAGCTACAACAACAGCAAACTTCTTTTTGGTTAGAGTTGCTGATGATGACTTACTGTGTGGTTTCTCATGTGCCTTATTAATGTCATAGCAAATATTATCTTAATGCATCGGTTTTTAAAAAAACAATAGTGGTATTTAAAGTTTTTATGTGTGTAATCCTAGAAGTCTAATGTGTGCCTGAGGCAGAAGTATTTACGTTGGTTTAATGGATTTGTTGGAATGAGATATTATTTATCAATTATCTTAAACCAATTTAAATCCCTTGTATCAAGTTATTTATCTGGAAATAATCCTAAATAAACGGGTATGGTCAATTAAACTGCAACATTGTTTTAATACTGCCTAATAGGTAGCATTTCTGTGGAAATTGTACACACAATAATATATATATAATTTCTTTAAAGATTTCTTAAGTTTGGTGAACATCAAACTTTGCTTTTTAGACTGCGACTCACATTCTGTGTCCACATAAATTCTGGGCTTTGCTGTCAGCCACGGGGAAATCAAAGGGAAAGGACGCAAACTTCCCGCAGGTCCCTGAACGCACCTCCTTCTGCAACACCCTCAAGGTAAATACGCTACCAAGCAAACGCGGTGCGCCAGCTCTGTCGAGTAATACCCTCAGTTGTATTTCTCCAATGGCAACTATTTCCTGGGGACAGTATCTAACAAGGGCACGTAAAGGTTTCCGTAAATAACTTCAAGTATACTTAAATCTCCATGAGTAGCCTAAAAAGTGAACGCACAAGCAGGACTCACGCGGTGGCAACGTTTCCAGCAGCAGCTCTCCTCTCCGCTGCTCTGGTTTCAAATATTCAGGTAAAACATGCGATGGAGAGCGGTGCTTTCATATTCAGTCACACCAGAAAGCAAAACAAAGCAGGGGGGCACGGCATGGTGCGTAGCATGCAAAACGTGGAGGAAACAGGCTGGGCTGTACCTAGCCAAATGCTCCTCGGATACAAAAGTTTCAATTTAAGCTGTTCAGACGCAAGCAGCGAAACCCAGCATATTTCACATTCAATATGGTGTTGCTGTACGAGGAGATAATGCCAGCACCCGGACGAGGTTCGGCTGAGCGCATACTTGCAAATAGGAACCAGCACCCAGGTGTGCTGAGATCACCCGTTTCTGACGCCACAAGAACTCTGTTTTTTTTTTTTCTTTTTTTTTAAGTTTATTTCTGATACAACACTTCCATTTTTTAAAGCCTGTTCAGAGGGTGAGAGAGCAGCAGGTATCCAATATGATCATGCCTGGAAGGGCACCTTCCTCATGGGAATACCTTCCATCCAAGCCCATTCTGTGCATGAAGCAGTGCCGGGGCCCAAGCTCTTGGCTCACCCTGGCCGTCAGGGCCAGTGCTCAGTCCTGCAAGATTTGGCCACTCAGCAAAATCCTGGCCGTGGGATGGGGCCACATTGTCCCAAAAACATCTGAACTGCACAGAGTACCAGCACGTATTGCTCAGAGCTGGCTGAAGCTCACATAGAGCTGGCCACAAGCACACTAGAAGTCCTATTCTTTCAGTATTATTATTTTCCTTTTGCTTGTCGCAATGACTACTTCTTATTTATTTATTCTTGAAAGCTCAAATGACCCTGTGGTGTTGAGCTGGTTGGGCTGTGCGTCTGCAGTGCTGAGGCCGCTAATTTACGACCATTATAGAGGAACACAGTAAATAAGTAAATAATCCTTGGGGAATAAAGACATTAGAGCATCACGTGTAGCTGACTTTAGGGTCCTAGTTTTCCTCCTATTCGAAGAGCAAAAATCCCCACCTCAAGGCAAGAGGCCCCATGCCGAGAGGCCCCTTGGATATGAAAAAAGAAAAAAAAAAAACTACACACAAAAAAGAACATCAACAAACAGCCGGTAGGACTGTGTGCTCAATACTCCCCAGACAGTCAGGTAAAACAGTATAAAGCAAAGTGTCCTGTCATGTAAGATGTTATCTCAAATATGTTTACTTAAATTTGATGATAAATTGTTCTAGCGAAGATGTTTAAGCTTTGTTAACTGATGGAAGAAATCTTTTTATAGTTAACTATGTATATTAATGCAAAATGAATTTTTAGAAGGAATTTTCTCCAAGAGTACTGTGTTGTTCATCTAGTTCAATCTTTTTCTGTTTGTATTTTGGCTTGCTGAGAGCTTCATGCTCTATTGGATTCTGCCGCTTTTTTTTTTTTTTTTTTAATATTATTATTATTTAGTAGCTTCCTCGCTCCCGGCTTTGGTAGGGCTGGCCTTATTCTCCCCGAGGCAGATGTAAGTGACAGCCTTGGCGTACAGGGAAGTGTTTGGTGTTCGGGGAAGCACAAACATGTTTCTAATAAAAACTAACTACGTAAATGTTTGTCTTAGGGGATTTTTTTTTTTAATTTAAGATCCATTTTTCCCTAATTCTTGGAAAGATTCTACATCACTGGATCCAGGGGAAAAAAAAACAAAAACAAACAACCAAAAACCAAACAAACTTCCCCAAGTGAGTACAGAAACAAATGGAGGGTTGTGCTCATTCATCGTAACAAGGCTGTAGATCTCTTTAAAGTTTGCCTCGAGAACAGAAAGATGCAGTTTTGGAGTGAACCTGAGGAAGGCTTGAGCTAAGTCATGCTTTTTATTTTGGAAGTAAATTAGAGCCTCACTTGTTTGCCCTCCTGCAAGCACCTGTATTGGAAGAGAAAGTAATCCCAGTGCTGGCCCTAGAGCATTACACACCAAAACCCTGATAAATTTCCCTGTCTGCCTTGGTTTGATTCTCAGCTCTGAACCAGCCCTTTCCTCCTCACGGAAAACACATATAAAGAAATACCCAAACTTAGAAAACAATCCCCAAAACTTTAAATATTAGGAAACCTTATAACTGTGGCCTCTGTGTTAAGAGGCCTGATGGACTGTAAAACCTTGGTTGTGCTCACACCAGTGTCAATAGGCCAAATGCCTGTTTCAGCAAAAATTCTCCTTTCAGATTCATAACCAGACAGGTGCAGGCAGAGATGCTTTGAAAAGGCCTTAATTTGAAAAGCGCTGACCACTTGGGCCAGTGATGAAGAAGGGCAACTGAAGAGGTGTTTTGAAATGCCAGAGGACTCGGTGTTCCCTGTTCTGTGCATGGGTGAGCCTCTTAGATGGCTCTTTTGACAAAGAATGAGATAGCAGGATCTTGTAGTGTCAGAAATTCTTCTGCCCCAGCAGAACCTGGTTCTCTGCCTCATTTGCTCTTCTGTCACCTTCTTTGCACTATCATCTCCTCCTGGAGTTTGATGCTGAGTCTGAGTTACACATAGCAAATTAGGCTCTTTTAAAAACACCTGCGCTAGGATAGTTGCTGTTTGATTCCCAGAGGGCCCTGGACAGAAGGCAGGTATTACAGAATTTAGTTTGGGGTGTCAGAAATCTACTGGCCACCACGACACTGGCATCTTTAGATGCAGTCCTCCTGAGGAAGTGCCCTCTAATGTTGCAGTCAGCATTTGGGGAAAGCTTCGTCAGAGAGTGGCCTTATCACGGGATGTCAAAGATGGGTTTTACTTGTCTCTCTCTCTCTTGGCTGTAAGCTCTTGCAGTCTGTCCAAAACGCCCTTTAGGGGCCTACATGTTTTGTTGAATGCCCACCCTGGATGATGGGGCCTTGGGAGTCAGTAGGCAAAAAGCTTTGAAAAAAAGCTTTGGAAATCTCAGATTCTCCATGTATCTTCAAGCTGCAGTATGGTTCCTGCAAGGTCTAGCTGTCGGAACAGCAGGTTATAGTTTAATTGTCAGAAATTCTCTCAATAATCACAGTTGACACCTGACACACTTTTTTTTTTTTTGGCTTCATGATCTAGTCATGAGAAAATATTTAATTGTATTACTCTGACATTTTCCTTTTCAAGTGCCATTAATGGGCCCGAGGATGTGTTTTGTCGGTAATGACCAGGCTAGATGTTTTGATTCAGTTCACGGCTCTGGCACCGACTCCTGATACTATCTGGGATGAGTCGCTTGGTCTCTCTGGTCTTTGATTCCTCTTCTGTAGAGTGGCTGTAAAATGCATCTTTTCCAGCTTTTGCCTAGTCAGTGTTATTCAAGTGAGATGGAAGCTGACAGAGGGCATCCGATTGCTTGCTATAAACGCCTTAGAAGGGTAAATACCAGGGAGGGAGAAGAGCTACTTAAGCTAAAGAACAGTTTTGGCAGAAAAACAAGGGCCTATAAATAGAAGATGAATAAACTTAAAATGGAAACTCGAAGAAAGTTTCTCATTATCAGATCAGTCAAGTTCTAGAACAGCTTTCCAGGATGAGTCAGGGGAGAGAATAGCTTGGGGTATAGGATGTACTTTAGTCCTTCTAAGATTAATGTACATTGCATAAGCCACAGCTACCTGCTGACTGTGTCACCTCTGTCTGTGCCGTTTCTGTCCGTCCTGCTGCATTTCCACTACTCTGGCAAAAGTATTGCAGCAGCAGTAACAATGTCAGAGACAGCAGTAACTGAAGTCAAGTGTGCATCTGGTTAATTTGTGTGTGGTGGTGGCGTGTAGAGGCTCTTATGAACTGGCAAACTCTAGCTGCTTCTGGTGTGGGCCTTGACCAGTTAGTGGATGGGATTATTTGGCCTGGTGATTTGTCCCAACAAAGGACTAGTCTTCACAATGCCAAAGGTTCCCTTCCTGCCTAACACTTCCCTGTCTCAGATGCTAAAAGGCAGCTCTTCCTGGGAAATCTGAGCAGAAAGATGATGGCTGGGATGACTAATGGTTTTCCCAGGTTGGTGATTCTGACTTTTTGGCATTCCTTCTAGATCCTACCAGGTATCAAACATCACTTCCAGATGTTATAGATGATTACAGATAATCTCCATGAGCGTTCCCACTTCTTTTCTCACCTTCTAGGTTGGCAGATGGATGCCAGAGACAAGCAGCTTCTGCGCTCCCTGCGCCTGGAGCTCTGCACAGAGGTGCTCGTCGATGGACTCGTTATTCAGTATCTCTACCAAGAAGGGATTCTCACAGACAGTCATGTTCAAGAAATAAAATCCCAGACCACCAGCCAAAGGAAAACCATGATGCTCCTTGATATTCTTCCTACTAGAGGACCCAAGGCATTTGATGTATTCTTGGATTCCTTGCAGGAGTTCCCATGGGTTAAAGACAAGCTGAAGGCCAAGCGGAAGGAAATGACAGTAGAGGATCCTGCAGGTAAGGCCAGAATTGTTACTGCTGATGATCTGAAGCTTGTTCTCAGACCTGATTTTGAATGTCTTGAATGTGGCAGTAATCTCAAGTAATGGATCATGTAGGTACGGAGCATGATACCAGCGTAGGGCACAGCCCGAATTTCCTGGAAGGCAGCCAGATGCCAGGACGCATTGCGAAGTCTGGGGAGTGAGCAAGGCTGAGTTTCTGCATCCTGGCAGGCAGCAGCAGCAGCAGCAGCTTCCATAAGGAAAGGCTGAGTTTGGAGAGTCTGAGATGTAGGACCCAAGGCTTGGACCGTAAAGAGCAGTTTTAACTAGCTGAACAGCAGACTCTTCACAATCTGCACCTAATTAATCTATGTTTTATGTATGTTGTAAGTGTTTCACTTCCCTATTGTTGATATTGGCAGGATTTTTATTTACTCGATTTTATTATGGTTTTAATAGTTTTAATTTAGTGGCGTCTACTAATTTAGAACTATGTAGGTTCCTATGTGTATCAGAGAACAAATGTCTAGGGTTATTACCTCCAAAATTACTCGCTGTTGCTTAACTTTAAAAAGAGCTTAGGAGCTAACAGATTTAGTGGATGTTACATAATCTTATTTAGTCAAATCTCTTATTTTCTGACATTTAGATGTATTTCTAAAACAGCTTTCTGAGCTTGCTGTTTTAACACTGAAGTAGTCCTCACTTTCTCAGCAGCCTGATTAACTTCTCTTTTTTCTACCTCAAATCACACCTGATTTGGATTTGATCTTACTGTGATGCACATGGTGTGAGTTTTCCTGTGTTAGTGTGTTTTACATGAGCCTCTAAACTTGTGAAGATGTATTACTAGGAACACCCTGCGTGCCTGCCTCTGAGTTAGCTGCGCACCCAAGGATGTTTTGTCAAGATCTGCTGGACAAGTATGATGTTGTCTTACCTTAGGACATTTTAAATGCAATATTATGACAGCTTTTCTTTCTGCTCAACCTGTATGAGATCATTTTATGCTTGCTCCCAGCTGCAGAACTGTGTTTAAAAAAAAAAAAGAAATTTTTGGAGAATAAATATGTGCCTCCCATAGGTGAAAATGCTGAGTTCTCAGCACATGGCAATCCTGCGGTATTGAAAGTGTTGGAAAAGATCTTGTTGATATGACGAATCCTGTCATGCTAATAATATTCTGGGTTTGCCTTACAAATCAGTGTGTTTGCTAACTGCTGGTTCAGCTTTTGAATAACGGCTACGGTTCCACAAGCACAGACACACAAGGCCACCAAGTACACTCAAGGTTACCTGCTTTGTTACTAGAAAAATAGTTTCAGATGTGTATTCTTTGGACTTGTTTGTGGATTGTTTCTTCCCATTCTTGACAGCTTATGACTAACATGCTGTATTTATGCATATCAGGTTCTCTGGTTTCGTGTGGGTTGACTGTACCTGATAATCCTATTGCCAAATTTTACGTGTAAGCTAGAAAAGACTTCCAGATTAGATCAAAGGTTACCATGATTTTTACTGTGGCAATACAGAATGTGAAAACAGGGTAAGAGGCAAATAACCAAGTCAGTTTTCATATTTTGCACATTCTTTAGGAGCACCACCTGTCCCTTAATAAATGATGAATGCCTGAAGCTAAATGAAAATGATGGGGATGTCCTCAATGCTGTTTGCATGAGAAAAAAAAATGTGGATTGGGATAAAAAAGCCTCACTTTGCATTCTGAACAACAAGCTTGTAAGCTTTTGTCTCAGTAGCGCACTTGAGCATGTGCTTTACTTCCAGCATGGAAAAAGCCATTGGCTCTAATAAAACTATGAGCATGCCTAAAATTACATTCCTAAGTGCCATGCTAGATAACTTAACTTCTACCTTACTGGAAACTGTTCTTGTAAATGATGATTTGTCACTGGTGATTTATTTTAAAGAATCCCTTTGTAAGAGCCTACTAAATAAATACACATTACTTCTTTTAAAAACTACAATACTTTTAAAATCAAAATGGATTTTTACGGCTTTTAAATCTTTAAATCTTTATTTCTCTGAATCATGCATACTTATGGAAATAGCCTGCCTGCTGTTCACTTGTTTGTGCTCAGTTAAAATTCTGTTTACTCAAGCAAAGTATCCTCAGTTTTTGCAGATCTTTTGCAGGATGGCATGTTATTCCTTGAAGAAAGGCTTTATTTTATAGTCTCTTTCACTTCTAAAGGACTGTATGTAGAAGTTTTAAATTCACTATTAGCTTTCCTCTACCTGAGCATGAAAACTGTGGCACCTGCACAGTGTTTTTTTTTTTTTTTTTCTTTTTCATGTAGGCCTTTGGATTCTTGTGCATCTTTTTCAGAGAGATCAGGCTTGCTATCTTTGACTTAGCTGAGAAATATATTTTGGATCCCAGGCAAATAAAATCACAGCTGTACTTGATAAATTTTTAATTTGTTTTCTTTCAGTAGTTAAAAAAAAACAAAACAAAACAGCAGAAACCAAACACAGAAATTTTAGAAGGAGGACAGAAATAAAAACATCTTTAGTGACATTTTCTAAGAGCCCTGTAGTTAATGGTCTGGTGGACTGAGCAGCCATGGAATGAAATCCAAACTCTGTGACCTAAACAAGACGCTGCCACTGACTCATTGTGAGGGTTTGGGCAAGTGGTTCTGAGCCAATGGATTTATCAGTTCCCAACTCGTGTAACTCCGTATCATGTTCACGGAGCAGCACAGAGCGTGTCTGTAAGTGAACCCCGGATTCACCCCAGAGTATGCTGTTTGGCTGTTTGTGAATAAATGAACCTTAAAAAAATTGATATCCTGAGTTTTATTGCTGACTCTCATTTTGACTTAAAAATTACAGTCATGTACTGCTTGCTACCTGCTGTTGTTACTACAGGCACAGAAGACCCTAATCCCGCAGAGCTCAAGGACTGGAGTTCCCACTGGCACAAGTGGGTGCCTTGCAGGCACAGCAGGGCTGCTTGTGGCTGTATAAATTCACCAAAGACCCAAGATTGCTTCCCCGTGCTTGTGTACTGTGTCCACGTGACAGCCTGTCGACTAGCATCAGTTTCCTCCCCTCTCTTTCTGCCGGATGGTCAGGGCTTCAGGAGAACCTTTTCTTAAGGTTGGGGAAAACAGGATTACAAAACCCAGAATTGTCAGGAGGGAAATTCAGAGTAATGTGCTTTGGAGGTAACTATTAGTGACTTAAAATAGTTGAATTTCAAGATGATTGGGTATGTTTCTTGCTTAAGAGCTTAGAATAAAACAGTTCAGCCTGTGCGTAGTAGCTCTGCAAGGCTTATAAATCATTGTAAACATCAAACCACAGCGTGAGGTTCTGCTTTTGAAGATAAAAATTTCCACTGTG